AAAAAAAAAATGAATTGCCACCAAGTTTCCCCCAAACAAATGTGTTGATGGATGCTCCCTTCATTAGAGAACAAAAGTATTAAGTGTTACTAATCAAATTCTTTATTTTCATAAGTTGTACTTATTTTTCTCCAGTTTAACCATTAATTTTGCTTAAGGATGTTTAACATACAAAACTTTTAATCTTTTGTGTAGCCTGTCAAAGTGCTTTCCTCCGTGGCTTATAAAGGTTCTCTCCCTACCCCAAGATTACATAAATCCACTCCCATATTTTCTTTTAATACTTTTATGAGTTTACTTTTTACATTTAATCATTAATCCATCTGGAGTATGTGTGTATGATAAGTAATTTTTAAAAAAAAAGGATACTAGCGCATTGTTTTTGTATTTTTACATCAATATCAGACTTCATAATTATCGTTTACAACGACTCCATAATTAATTGTCTACACAATGTTTTTGGTATCTAGATAAAATATTTGAGAAGGCCACACTGCAAATATATTTAAACAGAGGATGATCAAATATGATAAAAAATAAGTTTAAATTCAAAATGACTTTTTAAGCTTTACCAACTTAAAAACATGTAGCCTTAAGTATAAAGAATATTAATTCAAGTATTAATATTTATTACAACTTACCAGCTGATCTGTTATCCGTTTTCCTTCCATAGCTTTTAACACTCTGTATCGAAAAGAGACATAGAAAATAGGCTTTTAAAATAATGTTTTGAAGTCGAAAAATGCAAACAACTTTTAAAAATAAGTTCTCAGAAATGGCTAGAAATGCCAATGTGGGACTTAGCATTTAAAGTGTTTTCCAAATTCCCTGTTCTCTGCAATTTTTTTCACCTCCTTCCTTTTTGCACTAACACTGCCAAGAGCTCTTCTATAAATGTCCAAAATAAATTTCTATAACAGTCCTAGCCTTTGTCCTCAATCAATAATTTCCATCAGTCATAATTAATGTTAGTTACCAAAAAAATTGACTATCTAAAATACCACGATTAGTTCCTAGAGAAATGGCATAAGCCAGCATCTCTAAAAATTTATTCTATGGAATAAAGTGTTCTATGGGAAAAAATAAAGTTTGTGTGGTAGAGTGAATTAGAGAAATTGCTGAGTTAAATTGAAACAGGTTTCTAATGCAGGGTATATCTTGGAAGGTTTAAACTGCTCATGAATATGTCTGTCAGATCATTGCAGACTCTCTTGAGAAGCTCGAATCACACTTTGGGGATCACTGGTATGGGTGCTCAACTGTTTTCACTAGTGGGATGGCGACGTCCCTGTTGGCATGGTTTGGGAAGGCTTTGCAGAACAGATGACCCCTAGAGAGCCTTGAGAGATGGGCAGGATGTGTAGAGAAGAGGAAAACCACTGAGGTGGAGAGAAACTATGAATGGAGGCACAGAGAAGCAAATATCTGGATTGTGTCTGGAGAACAGTAACTGGATCAGTTTGGGGCGGAAGGTTCTATGGGACAATTCTCAAACCCAGAGCGTAAGAGATTCATTAGGGGTTCTTGTTAATAGCTCAGATTCCTGGACCTCACCCCAGACCTACTGAATCAGATTATCTAAGGATAGAATTCCAAGAATCTGCATTTTTAACCATTCTCTTTAGTTAATGAATTCTGATATAGAAGATCTGCAGACCATACTTTGTAAAACATTGATACAGATACAAGAAGAAAGGTAAATGGATGCAGTAATGCCCTACAGTAATGCCCACCAGCACTAATTTAAGTCTAATCAAGCCTACTGTTCTGGACCCATGTGCCACAGATCGATTATCAGGGCCAGGGGTTTAATTCATCCACCCAAATACTGAGTGTCTACTGTGTACTAAGCACCAGGTCTGAAGCCAATATTTTCTAGAAACTTGATAATCTCTCCCGTTGTACTTCTCCCAGATGCACTCCTTTTCTACACTTTAAGAGACCATATCCTAAATTCAGTAAGTTAGCAATCCATATATCTGCATACCACAGCTAGGAATTAAACCAAGTGGTAACTAGGAAACCTCCGCAAATTAAAAGGTAAAGCAAAAAACTCACTCTTTTTGAAATTCTTCTTGCTTGCTCTTAAGTCGGCTTAACCTTTCCTTCTTGTCAATAAACCTGTAAAAAAAAAAAAATTCAATCTTTTATTTAAATGTTCAATTTTTTCAGTTCAATGAGACCATGCAAATTCCTGAGACCAATCAATCATATCTGCAAATTCATGTGGAAATGTCACTGTCCTGAAAGTAAATATACATTTTCTCAATGGGATGCACACAGCTGCTTACCATTTGTTCTTTTTAAAACGAAGTTCAAATCTTCAACTTGAGATCAAATTTAAGCCTCTGTTGCTTTTTAATTATGACCATATAAAGTTATAAATGCCCTTCTACACATCACTTTAGCTACTTCCTAAGATTTTTGACGTGGTGTATTTTCATTTAGTTTGAAACTTCTAATTTTTTTTATAAGACTCCTTCTTTGATCCATAAATTATTTAGAAGTGTATTATTTAAGCTGGGCGTGGTGGCCTGTTCCTGTATTCCCAGCCACTCGGGAGGCTAAGGCTGAGGATCACTTGAGCCCAGGAATTCAAGGCTGCAGTGAGCTACTATGATGCCACTGAACTCCAGCCTGGGCATAAGAGTGAGACACTGTCTCTAAAAAAAAAAAAAATTTTATTGTTTAATTTCTAGATATATGGGCTTTTCTAGGTAACTTATTGTTTTCTAACTTAATTCACTCTGATGTGGTCACAGAATATACTCTGTGTGATTTCAATCTTTTGACTTGAGGCTGTCTTATGGCCTTATTATACATGTTTTGCCTTGGAAAAGGTTCCATGTGTATTTGAAAGAATACACAGTTGTATTCTACAACTGTTGTGTAGTGTTCTATAAACGTTGACTATTAATACTTGAAGGTAGTTGACAGTGTCATTCAAATCTTCTAGATCTGTGCTGCTCAATATGGTAGCCACCAGCCACACATGGGCTACTGAGCACCTAAAATGTGGCTTGCTGCTTAGAAAGAATTTGGTGAAAAAAAAAATTATGACTAACATTATGGAACTGGTTGTAGATGGAGTGAACAGTGGCCCACTAACCATTTAAGGGAACAAGGATAATGCCATATGCTGCAGTGACATGGTTTGGTGTCCAAGAATAAGCTTTTGGCTGCCTCCTGAATTCCTAGCATAAAGGAAAACAATATAACAGACCATGATAGCCCTAAAAATAACGCAAATAGAAAAGAAGTCTCTCCAAAATATTATTTCTGCAACCCCATGTTTATAACATACCTAAAGATATTTAATTCTAAAAGGGATAAATTGATCTAATCATGACCCTAACATTTAACAGTCACTGAAAATGTACAATATATATTAATAAAAAGCAGTGAGGCATTAGTGACAGAATTACACATTTATAATGTCACAATTTAAACTTAATTAAAATAAAAAGTTCAGTTCCTCAGTTGCACTATATTCACATTTCAATAGCCACGTGTGGCTTGTTGGACAGTGTGAATATCAAACATTTCCATTGTCGCAGGAAGTTCTACTGAATAGCACTGCAATGTCCAGTAAAGTGGCAATGGCATGAAACAATTATTAGAAAACTCAGAAACCAATGTGGAATGTAGACAAACCCACAGACTCATCAATTAATCTATCAGGCATTTACCATGTGCCTGCAACATATAACAAAGCATCTTCTAGAACTGCGGTCCCCAACTCCCGGGCTGCAGACTAGTACCCTGTCTGTGGAAAAATTGTTTTCCATGAAACTGGTCCCTGGTGCCAAAAGGTTGGGGACCACTGCTCTAGAATATTAAGAAATCGAGTTACGTTTTCCAAATTGTGTAACCTAGTGTATAAATGGCTACTTTATGGTAGGACAAATTGCTATGGCCTCCAACCATAAGACATACTTTTGCCTCCTGCAAGGAAAAGTAAGTGTTAGATTCTTTCATTCCTACAGTAAAAGGTAGGATGTTAGAGTATTTTTGGAATTATATTCAAGTTGGGAAGGAACCAAAATAAAATTTCAGAGAAATATGGGGGGAAAAAAAAAAAAGAAATTGAGTTACATATTCTTCTGCAGTAGACTGTGTATTCTTGAACATATCACTTGTTATATGCCTCCATTACCTTGTATCAAATATGAAAAACTACCGTGGTATTTACTTCATATCACAAAGACAGTGTGCTGATTTGTATTCTGATAATACAGATAACCAGTAGAAAACAAAAAACTCAAAAGGCTCTCAAAGCATGCAAGCATTGACATGTATGATAAAATCTTGCTTTTAGAAGCTGTAAAAGTTCTCCTTTCAGATCTGTTGTAAAAATGCCATTTTGCACTAAAACAACTTAGAAATGGCAGACAACTCTGTCCAGCTTTATATTCAGCTGGGTGATCCTCTTAGGCTTTGTTAAACAAACAAAAACAGCACAGAAAAAAACCCTTAAAATATACAGATGGCAGCAGGAATAATAAAGATAATTCCTACTGTTTCAAATGCTTCATAAGTCATGTTATCCTTCATGAAGGAAATTAAAAATAGGTGGCGTTAACAAAGCTAAAAGCAGATGATATCAAGGAATGTGGGTGGGTCAGCGTTTCAGTTGCTCACTTGGTACACTCATCCATTCTCTGCATTCTCCATCCTACCACTCATGGAAGTAGATAAAAAATTCATCCCACAATTCTGTGCTTTCTTAATATGGTTTCCAAGAAATGGAAAGATAAATAGTCACCATAATCAAACCAGACTTAATTATACATATATATCTTTTTAAAAGGATGAGAATTTATGACTAAGACCCCAAAAGCAAATATAGCAACAAGAAAAATAAATGTGACTTAATTAAACTATAAAGTTTCTGCACAGCAAAGGAAATAATCAACAGATTAAATAGACAACCAACAGAATGGGAGAAGATATTCACAAACTATACATCTGACAAAGGACTAATATCCAGAATCTACAAAGAACTCAATCAGGGGAAAAAAAAAAATCAAAAAGTGGGTGAAAGATACGAACAGATTTTTTCCAAAGAAGATAGACAAATGGCCAACAAACATGAAAATATGTTCAACATCACTAATCATGGAAATGCAAATTAAAACCACACTGAGGTACTACTTTACCCCTGTTAGAATGGCCATTATTAAAAAGTCAAAAAGACAGTAGATGTTGGCGAGGACGCGGTGAAAAGGGAAAGCTCATACACTGTTGGTGGGAATGTAAACTAGTCAACCACTATGGAAAACAGTATGGAGATTCCTCAAAGAACTATAAGTAGACCTACCATTCAATCCGGTAATCCCACTACTGAGTATCTACCCAAAGGAAAAGTTATTTTATAAAAGGGACACCTGCACCCGAACATTTATCGCAGCACAATTCACAATTGCAAAGATATGGAATCAACCTATGTGCCCATCAACCGATGAGTGGATTAGGAAAATGTGGTGTGTATGTGTGTGTGTATATATACGTATATACACATACACACCCTGGAGTACTACTCAGACATAAAAAGGAATAAAATAATGTCTTTTGCAGAAATTTGGACAGAACTGGAGACCATTCTCCTAAATGAAGTATCTCAGGAATGGAAAAATAAATACCACATGTTCACACTTTAAGTGGGAGCTAAATGAAAGGTATATATGGTCATAAAGTGGTGTAATACTCACTGAAAACTAAGAAGGTGGGGGGGTGACGGATTAAATCTACTTAGCGGGTACAATTTACACTATTCTGGTGAAGGGTACACTGAAAGCCCTGACTGCAACATAATACAATTCATCCGTGTAACAAAAAACACTTGTGCCCCCCCAAATCTGTTGAAATAATAATAATTAAAAAAAAAAGGTGGTGGGAATCTATATTTTACATACTGTTTTTCAAGTTAGGTTTGTCACATAAAATATCTTGTATCTTTTTCCACGTCAGACATATTGATCTCTCTCATTAACAGGTACACAGCATTTCCTTGAATGAATTTATTCATTTATAAGCCCCTACTGATGAACACTGCTATTTCTTCCAAGTTTTTACTATTATAATGATATAAATGAATATCTTACTGCACAAATCTTTACAAGTTTTTAAGTTTCTCTATGAGACGTTCCTGTAAATAAACTGCTGAGTCAAAGAATATTTACATGCAAAATTCTGACAGTTATCCTCAAATTTCCTCTAAAACATTTCATATAATTTACAACCCCACCAACAGCAGGTAACAGAACCAATTTTCTCACTCTCCCCCAAACACTGGACATCTCTTTCTAGCCTTTGCCAATCTGACTGGCCTTGCATTTCTCCCCTCAAAAGATAGTTCATTAATTCATTTATTTGCTTTTATTTCACTATTAGAAAGGTTGAACAACTTTTCATATCTTACTGGCTACTTATTTTTCTTTTGTTATCTCCCTATGTCCTTCATTTTTCTATAGTTTTTTTTCCTTGAAGGATTATGTATCAGGGAAATTAGCCATTTTTCTTTCATACATCTTGAAATTATTTTTCCTCAGTCTGTTTTCTTACTAATGTTTCTGCTGTACAGAATTTTCTGAATTTGTATGCAAATATATTTATCAACTTTTTAAAATTTAATGACTCTAGTTTTTGTGCTGTTGTCTGAATGGAATCTGCCAGTGAACCTGTTCCATGCATGGCTTTCGCAGAACTATTTCCCGTATTTTCTCTTACAATTTAAAAAGACCTTCTATGTTATTTACTAAATAAATTACTCCACACTTTTGGCTTTGTTTCCTAAAAATTCCATACTTTTCTGACTTATTTTTTTCTTCCATTTAAAACAAGTCTTCCCTTAAATTGATTTTCCAACAGATCCCTCGTGATAGAGACTATGAGAACTAGGAAAAGGGTGGTCACACAGAGCCCCAGTGGTACGAAAGAGGGCACACAACCCAGCTCAGGGTTCAGAGGGAGCTTTCCAGGAGTGATACCTTTCTAAGCTGAGACTTGAGGATGAGTTAAGAGTTGCTCCTGTTAAGGGAGGGAAGGCATTATAGACAGTGGAAGTTCTGCTATGTAAAAATTAATTTGTTCTGCACCAAGTGTTTCAACACACCAAGTGG